AGCCCTCCTGGGCGGGCCGGGGGGGCACGCCAGGCCCTGTGTCTTGCTGAGCCCTCACCCTCGCCGCCGTGCTTGGCTGCCCCACAGGCGCCCGAGCCCTCGCCGCCGTGCTTGGCTGCCCCACAGGCGCCTGAGCCTGTGCCCCTGGACACAAGTGTGGTGGAGCAGAGCCTGATTCTAGCAGGTCAGTGCCTCAGGCCTCTCAGGGCAGCAAGAGCATAAGCGGGGGCATGTGGGGGCTCTGCCCTGTTTTTGCCAGGCTCTGTGGGTAGGTTTGCCCTCAGGAGGGTTTGTTCTGGGCATGCATTCCCATGTCACTCGCTGGCATGGCAGTTCTTGGGGTCTTTGGGGCTCTGGGCTGTCCCTGACGTGCCTTTCCCACATGACTCGGAGAGAGCTTTTGTCTCCTTCACCCTGCTCTCCTCTGCTGCTCCTGGAAAACGTACCTGTCCCCTGCTGTGTGCTGGGGACGCAGCTCTGCTCTCCCAGCTGGGCTGCCCGGAGGGTTTGAGGGTCCGCAGCGGGATGATGCTCTCTCTGCAGGCTGTGGGAACGAGGCTGCCCAGAACGGTCGCTACACGGAGGCAGTGCAGGCCTTCACGGAGGCTGTGAAGCTGAATCCCAGGGAGTACCGGTAACTGGGCGGGGGAACCAGGCGTTTTCTGGCCCTGGTGCTGTGGGATTGCAGCCCAGGGCCCTGTGGCCTGGCCTCCAGATCCCAGCTGGCTGCTGGTGGGCAGGGAAAGGGCCCCGGTGCGCTCTGGCTAGCTGTGCGCGTAGCAGCTCGTGGAGGCCTGGCTGACCTCTCTCTCTCTGCAGGCTCTTTGGGAACCGCTCATACTGCTATGAGAAACTGCAGCAATATGAGGAGGCTCTCAGGGATGCAGAGGTGTCTCTTGGTCTCCAGCCTAAATGGCCCAAAGGCTTCTTCCGCAAGGGCAAGGCCCTGAGGGGACTGAAGGTACCAGGGCTGGGAGGGGTCGGGGGCTCGGAGGTGTCAGTGGGGCTAGGCAGAGCCCTTTGCAGGGGTGGAGGAGGGAGGCCTGGCCTAGGATGGGTGCTGAGGTCCGGGCCCCAGCAGTGGAGGCGAAGCGGAAGCATGCCCAGCAGACAAGAAGGAGCTCAGCACCTCTCATTGGCCCCAGCGCTACGCCGAGGCTGTGAGTACGTTTGAGGAGCTGCTGCGCCTGGATGGCTCCTACGCTGATGCGGCTGCCCAGCTGAAGGACTGCCGGGCCCTGCTGCAGGTGAGCCCCTGCCTGCCCCAGCAGCACTTCTCATGTCTTGCTGGCAGTGCAGCAGGGCCTGATCTCCTCTCCCCTCCACAGCAGACCAGCTCTAGCAGTGTGAGCAGCCCTGAGGGTGTCCCGGTACAGTCGCTGCTGGAAACTGGGGAGCCTTCACTGCCTCTGTCTGGTAAGGGACCCTTGGCACTGAGGACAGGGTTTGCTTTGGACCTGTTAGAGCTGGCAGCTGGGATGGTGCTGGAGGACCCTGGGCCGGCAATCTGGGGGGTGTTGCAGAGCTGGTGGGGAGCAGGGGGGACCTTGGGGCTAAGGCCAACCTGCAGTCTGTAAGACACTGCCCTGTCTGGCCCGCGGAGCCTGTTAAGCCCTTGCTTCCCTTTCAGCAGGGGAGTGGACAAGTGGAAGCTGCTGTGACACAGACAGGAACGGGTTTGTGATTGTCACAAACTCAAGGAGCCATTCGAAAGGGCTGGCCCGGGCAGCAGTTCCAGCTAGCAGCAAGCAGACCTTGCCTCCAAAGCATCCAGCCAGGTAGCTGTAAGGGCGGCTGGGGTGGGAGGCACGGAGAACAGGCTGGTGGGAACTGCAGTGCTGGGCTTGGCTGGGGAGGGTGCCTGCTGCTTGCAGTGGGCAGGAACGGGTGAATCCCGTAGCTTGCGCATGGAGCTGGTGATGCTGGGGAGTCCTCAAGCTGGTGCGCAGGACGAAGGCAGCTACTGGTGATGCTGATGTGATTGGCAGGGACTGCTATCCTTTGTGGGTCGGGAACGTCACCGCCAGGATCACCGAGAAGGTGCTGCAGAGCTCCTTTAGCCAGTGAGTATTTTCCCACACTGAATTCCTGGAAACTCTGTGCCCTGCCAGCCCTGTGTCTGCCCTGCCCCGTGCAACCCTCCCTGTGCCAAGACGCTGCAGCTGCGGCATCCTGCCGGTCCCATGTCTGTCCTGTCCTGCATAACTGTCATTGAGGCGAGACCCTGTATCTGCGATGCGCTGTCAGCACCGCATCCCTTCTGCATGACCACCTTTGAGCCGAGGCTCTGCACCCACGGTGCCCTGCTAGCCCCACATCTGTTCTGTCCCCATGACTGTCCCTTGGCTGTGTCCCCGTTCCCTGGTGTGCCGGGCCTGCGCGCGCTTGGCTTGTGAGTCCCCAGACTGCCTGGTGGCGGTTCACTGCCTCCAGGAGCTGTCCCCAGTCTGTCACGTCACATCTTGGCTGCGTTCCTGTGCTGTGTTTTGCCTTCCCCAAAGAGCGAGAGCAAAATATAGGTGCGGGGGCATCTCTGGGGCAAAGCTAGTTGCTAAGACCCTCTCTACCCCACAGGTTTGGGCAGATCCGCTTTATCCGGATGCTCCCAGAGAAACACTGTGCCTTTATCAACTTCACGCAGAAAGCATCAGCGGAAGCGGCCTACAGGACCATGCTGGTGAGCTCTGGTGTTGGGGCCAAGGACAAAGCCATGGGGACCCTGCAGCCCCTTGGGTGCGGAGGAAGGACAGAATGCGCCAGAAGCAGGAGCCTGCAGCGAGGTGGGGGCTGTCCGTGGCTCTGCACTGCAGCCCTGCTCCTGTCCTTCCTCTGCCTGAGGACTGCTTACGCCTGAGGTGGGGACTGGTGCTGACAGCTCCCCCTCCCCAGGGTGCTGATATGGAAGGGACCAAGCTGGTGCTGCAACTCAAACACCCTTCCCACGCAACGCCACCCCCCAGCAGCGCCCAGAGACTCGCCGTGAAGTAGGTGCCTCCGTGGAAGCCCTCCTAGCCAGGACGTCTCGTGAGCTTACGGGGAGCGGAGCTGCGCCCTGTACATCTTACACCGCTGGGATGGCATGGAGGAGCTGGGCCTTAGTGCTGCCACTAAGTGTCCTTGGCAGCTGGCCCCAACAGACTGCCATGGTGGGCCAGTGTGCGGCTCTGTGCTGTGTCCTGTCTTGGGAGGACGCGCAGCTCTGAGTCTCTGCTCCCCAGGGAGCCAGCTGGAGTGCCCGCTGGCTTGGAGCGCCCGGCCTGGCAAAGCTGCAGCGGTGAAGACAACAGCCCCTTGCGACACTTGCCCCTGAGCTGTGGACTGGCAAAGAAGCGGGCACAGCAGCACTCAGACCTTCGCATCTCATTTCTGTGGGAGCCTGGGGCTTTCTGCTCAGCTCCCCCCGGGTGGGCGGCTGAGCGCTCTCTGAGAGCCTGGTGCCGGTGGCGCTCGGGCATCCTGCACCAGGCAGGGGCTGCCTTTGCAGCGGTGTCTTGTGGCTCCGCGTTGGGATGTTGGAGCTGGGGCATGCGCTCCAGAGGTGCCTTCCCCGCTGCCATGGGAGGGCTGAGGCTCAGTGGGGCTGGGGGAGGCCGGTGCCCAGGGAGAGCTGGGGCTGCCTCGTGGGGGTGGCCCGCAGCAGGGCCCCTGCTCTCTTGTAGCCCGGCACTAAGTGAAGCCCGCAGCTCTGGGGGTGCAGTGCAGGGAGATGCGGCCAGGGGCTCTGCAGGTAGGAGGGCCTGCCCCTGTCC